GTCTGGCTGAGTCTGGGTGTGTGTGAGTATGACTTGGTGTCAGTACGAGTGACTCTGAGTGCGAGTGAGTCTGAGTATGAGAAAGAATGTGTATGGGTGTGAGTGAGTCTGAGTGTTTAATGAGTCTGAGTGTAAGTGAGTCTGAGTGTGAGTGAGTCTGAGTATGAGTGAGTCTGAGTGTGATTGAGTCTGAGTGTGAGTGAGTCTGAGTGTGAGGGAGAACGGAGAGGAGAGGGAGGAGGAGGAGGAAGAGGAGGAGGAAGAGAGGGGAGGCGCCTAAGCAGCAAGAAGAACCCCATCTTACCACATAGGACAAATTGTCATCAGCAGGCGGTTGCGGTAAGAACGTGCCTCAGGGATGGCGTCGAGAGGGCCAGGGCCCAGAGACTCGAAAATACCAGTCAGCCATCGGAGGCTTGGAGGCCTGCCACCCAGCCGGCGCTCACGGTTGGACGCGGAAACGGAACATCCGTTCGGCTGAGTTGCCCGGACAGGCAACACGCAACCTGGAGCGTGTTGACGCGTGGCTCAGCACGTAGGGAAAACGTGGGCTTGGCTGCACACGTTCGCCAGAACGTAGGGCCACGGGTTGAACCGACACCTGGCGCCTCGACCCGGTGCGTTTCGAGCACGGCACGTGCTGCGTCTCAGCGCGGGCGTCGCAGGACAGCTAAGCCGCTCAGAGTCCGAGCCCCGCGGCCTTGCCTGAAGCACCCCAGGGAGCAGGAGCGGGAGCGGGAGCGGGAGGCTTTCGTCTGCCTCACTCCTGCTGCGCCCGACGGGGTCGCCAGTGGTAGTTCCCTCGCCCTGCCTTTCTGGCACGCAGCCTTCCTCTTCCTCCTCCTCGTCCTCACCAGCAGCAGCAGCATCAGCATCATCATCATCAGCATCATCATCATTCTCATCATCATCATCATCATCATCATCATCAGCATCATCATCATCATAATCATCAGCATCCTCATCCTTATCCTCATCCTCATCCTTATCCTCGTCCTCATCCTCATCATCCTCATCATCCTCATCATTCTCATCCTCATCCTCATCATCCTCATCCTCATCCTCATCCTCATCCTCATTATGATCCTCCTCCTCCTCCCACTCCTCCTCCTCCTCCTCCTCCTCCTCCTCCTCCTCCTCCTCCTCCTCCTCCTCGCACTCCCCCTCCTCTCTACCCCGAGGCCTGCACGGGCTGGGGGTAGAGTCGTGGGGCCCCTGAAGTGGTCGCTGGCCCTGGCCTGGCCCGAGGGTCCGATGGCCAGGTCTTCCTTCGGAAGGTTTTCTGCGGGCGGGCATCCGTCGGATGGCCCGCCGAGCGGTAGCTGGCGCGCGGGTTCGGGCGAGCTCAGGAGCCCGTCCGCCACACGACGTGACCCGACCCCTTTCCTCCTCTTCCATTCCGTTCCCTTGTGAATATTCCTTCCTGTCGCTTCCGAGACTTCACGGATGGAGAGCGGGTCGGTTTCAAAATGTGGTTCTCGTTTTAGCGCCGCGCGCATCCTCTCTACACATTTGCAGGAGCTTCCCGGATGGAGGGTGGGTCGTTTTCAAAATGTTGTTCTCGCTTCAGCGCCGCGCACATTCGTTTTAAAAATTCGCCAGGGCTTCACGGATTGAGAAAGGTCGTTTTCAAAATGCGGTTCTCGCCTCAGCGCCGCGCGCATCCGCCATACAGAAGTGCGAGAGTTTCCCGCATGGAGGGCGGCTGGTTTTCAGATTGTGGTTCTCGCCTTCGCGCCGCGCACATTCGCCAAAAAAACGCAAGAGCTTGACGGGTGAAGGGCGGCTCTTTTTCAAAATGCGGTTCTCGCCTAAGCGCCGCGCACATTTGTTCTAACGGTTACACCAGCTTCAAGGATTTGATTTGCGAATTTCCCTGAAATGGCGTTTTGGCACGATGTCGGGTTCTCAGGCCGCAACAGTTAAGTTGAGTCGTGGTGATGAAGCCCCAGAAATGGTGCTCCGCCGGCACGATTCAGGATCGTCAAGACGCAACGGTAACGGTGATTCGCGGCGTTGAAGTCCCAGGACGAATGTTTTGGCACAGCTTGGGATGTTCAAATGGTTGTGCTCCAACGGGGCACTTTCTTCAGTGAATATGAATCCTTGTATGGGGCCTATGAAGAGGGAGGTTGGAGGGAGGATTGATTAGCGTACCGTTGATAAGCCTTGGGCTTACACTACGCACTGCGGAGCGCTGCGGTCTGTCCGCGAAGCCTGCACCGCGCACGCGCGGCGCGACGCAAAGACCTCCACCCCACCCCACATCCTCCGAATGTCCTCAGAGGCAGGGGGGGGAACCTCAGGAAACAGCCTCAGGACTGGGCTTGCACTGGTCCTCCTCCTCGTCCTCCTCCTCCTCCTGCTCCTCCTCCTCCTCCTCCTCCTCCTCCTCCTCCTCCTCCTCCTCCTCCTCATTGAAGGTCCCCCACTGGACCAGAGGTCCCGCAAGCTTGCTCGAGTCGCGCGTCGAAGCTACGAGCAACATCTTTCACGCTCACCAGCCTCACCAGTCAGTTTGGTGAGCCAGAGGTGGAGAGGCAGCAGTCGCCCAGGGTTTCTCTTGTCTTGCCTTGCTTCCTCCTCCTCCTCCTCCTCCTCCTCCTCCTCCTCCTCCTCCTCCTCCTCCTCCTCCTGCTCCTCCTCCCCCTCTCTCCTCCTCCTCCTCCTCCTCCTCCTCTTCCTCCCCTCCTCCTCCTCCTCCTCTTCCTCCTCCTCCTCCTCCCCTCCTCCTCCTCCTCCTCCTCCTCCTCCTCCTCCTCCTCCTCCTCCTCCTCCTCCTCCTCCTCCTCCTCCTCCTCCTCCTCCTCCTGCATCTGCGCGGGAGCGAGAGCGGCGCGCCGTAGGCCCCTTCCCGCTCCGCCCCGCGCGAGCGGCAGCCGCGTGTCGTCGCCGTCGCCGCCGCCGGTCATGACGCTGCGGGCGTCCCGTCGTCTGTCGCGTCGTCGTCGCTGGCGCTGTCCCGGCGGCCGCCGTCGCTGCTGTTGCTTGTGGCTGCCTGTTTCTCTGCCTGGACCCCGTGCCACTTTCTGGGCGCGCGCGCGAGTCCAAGCTAGAATCCTAGAGTCCTCCTGCATTTTGCCTCCTGCTAGCGGGCGCCCCTCCCGAGGGGGACCTCCTCACGGAGCTGGAGATCGTAGACCTCGACGTGGGGGGAGGGGGGGGCGGCGCGACCACGACAATGACCACGACCATGACGATAGCGACGACGACGACGACGACGACGACGACGACGACGACGACGACGACGACGACGAGGGGTCCCGGCCGGGTCAGCGCGGAGGGGTTGAGGCCTCGACGCGATCGGGGGTTCCCGCGGAGGCTTTTGGAGGGCAGCCGGAGGCCTTCGGAGGCCTCGCAGGGCCCTCGGAGGGCTCGCAGGCCTTCGGAAGCTCCCGGGGACCTCCAGTGGCCTCCGGAAACTCATGGGGGCCTTCGGAAGGACCTTCTTCCTCGTCCTCCTCCTCCTCCTCCTCCTCCTCCTCCTCCTCCTCCTCCTCCTCCTCCTCCTCCTCCTCCTCCTCCTCCTCCTCCTCCTCCTCCTCCTCCTCCTCCTCCTCCTCCTCCTCCTCCTCCTCCTCCTCCTCCTCCTCCTCCTCCTCCTCCTCCTCCTCCTCCTCCTCCTCCTCCTCTCTTCCTCCTCGTCCTCGGGAGGCCTCTGGGGGCCTCGGGGGCCCCGTCTGCAGACCTCGGGAGACTTCCAGGCGGTCCGCGCCGCCTTGGCGCTGCGGCGGCGCAGGCGCAGGCGCTCAAAGGTTGGGGGTCCTCTGGGTGCCCGGCTCGGGCAGGGGCCCCGCAGGATTTTGTTTCCCTTCGCAGCGTGGCAGAGGCGACCCGCACGCGCGCTCGAGTAGCCGAGGGCGCGCGACATACTAATTGACTGGCAGCAAGAGAAGACGGGGTGCAGCGGCCGCGGGAAACAGGCGGAGGAGGAGGGAGGGCACTCACCACAGAGAGAGTTTCAGGGTGAGCGCGCTGATGTGGCCAGCCTGAGCTGAGGAGGTCTGCCCCGCAGGGAGCAGGTCTGAGGTGGCCCAGCACTGGTTCCAGCCAGCAGGGAGGAGGGGAAGAGGTTCGAGGCGCTGGGTTCGAGCAGGTTTCTCGCCTTTTCCGGCCTCCAGAGACCGTTTTCGGCCCCCAGGACCGTCACAAACGGGCCTGGGGTGAAAAGCTGCGCCAGGTGGACCCCGGGAGGGGTCTTCGGATTGATTTTGAGCGCGTTTCCTTTCATCCCCCCCTTCTTGGCCGATTTTCTCGGGGCCCCACCAGCTCAGACCCCCTGGCCACCTCCAGGTTGAGCGGTCCACGCTGTGCCAGAAACCAGGGCCCTTCTCCTCAAGGCAGGATCTGTTTGCACGCGAGCTCTACTGATGCAGCGAGTCAGGTAAAAAGCTCATCCTCCCTCTTCCCTCTCCCCCTATCCCTCCTCCTTATGAGCAGTTCCTCCCTGTCTCGCCCCGTGGCCGGCCGAAAGGGTGGGCTGGGCGTTTCGCCCGAGATCTCTTCCCCACTTGTGATCCTGAAGCTTGAAATTTGCAAAAGCTTCACGGATGGAGGGCGGCCCGTGTTCAAAATGCGATTGCAATTGTAGCGCCGCGCGCATTCGCTCTTAAAAGATGCAAGAGCTTCACGGATTGAGGGCGGCCCGTTTTCAAAGTGCGGTTCTCGCCTTAGCGCCGCGCACATTCGGTTTAAAGATTGCAGCGGTTTCACGAATGGAGGGCGGCCCGTTTTCAGAAAGTGGCTCTCGCCTCAGCGCCGCGCACATTCGGTTTAAAAACTGCAGCGGCCTCACGAGGGGGGCGCGGCCCGTTTTCGAAAAGTGGTTCCCGCCTCAGCGCCGCGCACATTCGGTTGAAGAACTGCAGCGGCCTCAGGAGGGGGGGGGCGGCCCGTTTTCAAAAAGTGGCTCTCGCCTCAGCGCCGCGCACAGTCGGTTTAAAAACTGCAGCGGCCTCACGAGTGGGGGGCGGCCCGTTTTCGAAAAGTGGTTCCCGCCTCAGTGCCGCGCACATTCGGCTTAAGAACTGCAGCGGCCTCACGAGCGGGGGGCGGCCCGTTTTCGAAAAGTGGTTCTCGCCTCAGCGCCGCGCACATGCGGCTTAAGAACTGCAGCGGCCTCACGAGCGGGGGGCGGCCCGTTTTCGAAAAGTGGTTCTCGCCTCAGCGCCGCGCACATTCGGCTTAAGAACTGCAGCGGCCTCACGAGCGGGGGGCGGCCCGTTTTCGAAAAGTGGCTCTACCTTCAGCGCCGCGCACATTCGGCTTAAGAACTGCAGCGGCCTCACGAGCGGGGGGCGGCCCGTTTTCAGAAAGTGGCTCCCGCCTCAGCACTGCGCACATTCGGCTTAATAACTGCAGCGGCTTCACGAGCGGGGGGCTGCCCGTTTTCGAAAAGTGGTTCTCGCCGCAGCGCCGCGCACATTCGGCTTAAGAAATGCAGCGGCCTCACGCGCGGGGGGCGGCCCGTTTTCGAAAAGTGGTTCTCGCCTCAGCGCCGCGCACATTCGGCTTAAGAGCTGCAGCGGCCTCACGAGCGGGGGGGCGGCCCGTTTTCGAAAAGTGGTCCTCGCCTCAGCGCCGCGCACATTCGGCTTAAGAACTGCAGCGGCCTCACGGGCGGGGGGCGGCCCGTTTTCGAAAAGTGGCTCTCGCCGCAGCGCCGCGCACATTCGGCTTAAGAGCTGCAGCGGCCTCACGAGCGGGGGGCGGCCCGTTTTCGAAAAGTGGTTCTCGCCTCAGCGCCGCGCACATTCGGCTGGAGAACTGCAGCGGCCTCAGGGGGTCAAGTGGATCTCGCCTCAGCGCCGCGCACATTCGGCTTAAGAAATGCAGCGGCCTCACGAGCGGGGGGCGGCCCGTTTTCGAAAAGAGGCTCTCGCCTCAGCGCCGCGCACATTCGGCTTAAGAACTGCAGCGGCCTCACGAGCGGGGGGCGGCCCGTTTTCAAAAAGTGGTTCTCGCCTCAGCGCCGCGCACATTCGGCTTAAGAACTGCAGCGGCCTCACGAGCGGGGGGCCCCGTTTTCGAAAAGTGGCTCTCGCCTCAGCGCGGCGCACATTCGGCTTAAGAAATGCAGCGGCCTCACGAGCGGGGGGCGCCCGTTTTCGAAAAGTGGCTCTCGCCTCAGCGCCGCGCACATTCGGCTTAAGAACTGCAGCGGCCTCACGAGCGGGGGGCGGCCCGTTTTCGAAAAGTGGCTCTCGCCTCAGCGCCGCGCACATTCGGCTTAAGAATTGCAGCGGCCTCACGAGCTGGGGCGGCCCGTTTTCGAAAAGTGGCTCTCGCCTCAGCGCCGCGCACATTCGGCTTAAGAACTGCAGCGGCCTCACGAGCAGGGGGCGGCCCGTTTTCGAAAAGTGGCTCTCGCCTCAGCGCCGCGCACATTCGGCTTAAGAATTGCAGCGGCCTCACGAGCGGGGGGCGGCCCGTTTTCGAAAAGTGGCTCTCGCCTCAGCGCCGCGCACATTCGGCTTAAGAATTGCAGCGGCCTCACGAGCAGGGGGCGGCCCGTTTTCGAAAAGTGGCTCTCGCCTCAGCGCGGCGCACATTCGGCTTAAGAATTGCAGCGGCCTCACGAGCGGGGGGCGGCCCGTTTTCGAAAAGTGGCTCTCGCCTCAGCGCCGCGCACATTCGGCTTAAGAACTGCAGCGGCCTCACGAGCGGGGGGCGGCCCGTTTTCGAAAAGTGGCTCTCGCCTCAGCGCCGCGCACATTCGGCTTAAGAATTGCAGCGGCCTCACGAGCGGGGGCGGCCCGCTCCCAGAGTGTGGTTTTTGGCCTCCGCGTAGCGCACCTCCGCTCTAAGAACTTAAGAGCCTACAAAGATCTAAATTCTAAAATGCTGTATGGCGCCTTTGTGCGCTCCCTTATGCCCCCCCAATTTCGGCGCACCCGTATGGCGCCCCTGTGCGCTCCCCTATGCCGCCCCCCTTTTCGGCGCACCCCATCACGCAGATCCTTGCCTTCGGAACGCCAGGAACGGCGTTCTGGGAGGATCTGCAAAACCCAGGGCGCACCCGTCACCGTGCCGCAGCGCTAAGGATGCGAACTGGGGATCCGTCTCCTCGAGGCAACGAGCTATCCCGCGCTCGTTGCGCAGCCACTCCCTGCAATCTCACAGCCGCTGGGCGACGTCCCTGTGACGCACAGGGACTCGCGTAAATATACGTTTTTCTTCAAATCGCGTCGTCGCGCGCGCGTGCCGCATCGCCGTTGCAGCGGCTTCCCAGAAGACTTTGCGCGACTGTCGTCGTCGTCGTCGTCGTTTTGAGATCAATATGTCTTGGGTCATGGGTGGGTGGGACACGCCCAACAGGCTTCAAGTTTGGGCTAGTGGGCCCTAGACCCCTAAACCCTAAACCTTACCCTAAAGCCGAACCCTTGAACTCTAAACCATAACCTTACGAAGTAAGAGCCTATAAAGATTTACATACTAAAGCACCCATCGTGCTCCTTAAGCCGCCCCTTATGCCGCCCCCCAGTTCGGCGCACCCCTCACGCAGATTCTTGCCCTCGGCGTGCCAGGAATGGTGTTCTGGGAGCTTTTGCAAATCCCAGGGCGCACCCCTCAGATCCTTGCCCTCGGAGTGCCAAGAATGGTGTTCTGGGAGCTTTGGCAGATCGCAGGGCGCAATCCTCACGCAGATCCTAGTCCTCGGAGCTCCAGGAATGGCGTTATGGGCGGATCTGCAAAACCCAGGGCGCACCCCTCACGCAGATTCGTGGCCTCGCACTGCCAGGAATGGCGTTATGGGAGCCTCGTCGCGGGGGAGCGCTCTCGCCAAGCAACGAACAATCCCGCGCGCCTCGTGGCAAGCCGGGGCATGCATCGCTAAGGCGTCGGTAAGTTGTTGCGGGGAGCTACTCGTTTTTGTCGCTTCGCGTGCGCGCGTCGCATCGCCCTTGCACCGGCCTTCGCGCACCGCGCCGCAGTGCTAAGGATGCGAACTGGGGATCCGTCTTCTCGAGGCAACGAGCTATCCCGCGCTCGTTGCGCAGCCACTCCCTGCAATCTCACCGTTGCTGGGCGGCGTCCCTGCGACGCACAGGGACTCGCGTAAATATAGGTTGTTTTTCAAATCGCGTCGTCGCGCGCGCGCGTGCCGCATCGCCGTTGCAGCGGCTTCCCAGAAGACTTTGCGCGACTGTCGTCGTCGTCGTTTTGAGATCAATATCGTTGTCTTCGTCATCGGTATCGTCCTCATCGTTTTGAGATCAATATGTCTTGGGTCGTGGGTGGGTGGGACACGTCCAACAGGCTTCAAGTTTGGGCGAGTGGACCTTAAACTCTAAACCCGAAACCCGACCTTCACTAAACCCTAAACCAACCCCAAACCCGAATCTTGAAAACTGATTAAACCCTAGAAAATTCCAAGAGCTTCACGGATGGAGGGTGGTTCCGTTTCAAGGTGTGACTCTCGCTGTAGCGCCGCGCACAGATTCGTTTCAACGACAGTTTCGAGGGTTGCACGGCGAACGTCTCAGGAGTGGTGTTTTGGCACGGTGTCGGAACGTCAGGGCGCAGCAGTCACGTTGATTCGCGGCACTCGAGTCCCAGGGATAGCGTTTTGGCGAGATTCAAGATCGTCTAGACGCAACAGTACCGGTGAGTCGCGGCGTTGAAGTCCCAGGAAGTGTGTTCTGGCATTGTTCCGGATGTTCAAATGATCGTCCTTCAACCAGGCATTTTCTTTAGTGGAAAAGACTTCTTCTAGGGGCCAATGAAGACGGACCGAGGAAGGAGAGTGTATTGCAATATCGTTCATGGGTCTTGGGTTAACATCGGCTTCTGTCTAGTACTTTCGTTTTCCTTCTGAATCATTCCTCCTTGTCGCACCCTGGGGCCAGTCGGAAGGGCGGGTCGGACGTTTCGCTTGAGACCTCCTCACCATGTATGAGCCTTACGCTTAGAAGCTGGCAACAGCTTAACAGATGTAGGGCGGGCCGTTTTCAAAATGCGGTTCTCGCCTTAGCGCCGCGCGCATTCGCTCCAGCATATTGTAACAGCTTCACGGATTGAGGACAGGCCGTTTTCAAAATGTGAGTTTCGCTTCAGCGCCGCAAGTTGCAAGAGCTTCACGGATTGAGGGCAGCTCGTTTTCGCGGCTCTCGCCTTAGCGCCGCGCACACTCGTTTAAAACATGTGCAGGGGTTTCACGGTTTCTCATGATTAACGTACGAGAAACTACGTATCACAATGATTCTGGATTGTCAAGGCGCAACAGTTTCATGGATTCGAGGTGTTAGAGTCCCAGAAATGGTGTTCTGGCACGGTTCAGGATCGTCAAGACGCAGCAGTCCCGTTTACTAATGGAGTAGTAGTATTAGGAATGGCGTTTTGGCACGCTACCGGATTTTCAACCAGTTGTCTCCCAACGGGGCACTTGAATCTTACAGGGGCATATGAAGAGGGAGTTGATGAGTTTTGTAGTTATATTGGTCCTTTTCCTCCTGCTCTTTCCTCCTCCTCATATTCGTCCTCCTCCTCCAGTTCCTGAGTTCCTGGGGAGCCGCTTGCTTCGGACTCAAGCAGGCCCTCGCAAACCCGAGCGCTGCCAGACTCCACATTGTCGCCGCTTCCCGAGACCTTGGGAGATCCTGCGGCTCGCCGTCTTACGGGACCTCCTCCATTTCGGTTTTGATTAGTTCACACTTGGTGCCGCTCCGCAAGACCCTGGGAGATCCAGCTGCTCGCCGTCTCACGCGGATCCAACGGGACCTCGCTTCTTTGGATGCTTTTGGTAGGTGGGTATCTCAAGCTCTCCGCCGCTTCTGGCGGTGTGCGTTGCTGTGTTCCTGATCGTTAACATTGTCACGTGTGTGGAGCTACACTGTCAATACCGTGCTTTCCTGTGGCTTTGCTGCGTTCCTGCTCGCAACGCACACCGCCAGAGGCGGCGGAGAGCTTGAGAGATCCACCTATCAAAATTGGCTCACAACATGCGCCGCTCCCTGAGACCTGGGGGGTCCAGCGGCTCGCCGCCCTTTGCGGATTCCAACGGGACCTCGCTTACTTGGGTGCTGCCTGGCTCACACTTGTCGCAACTCCTTGATATCCTAGGGTTATGATTTTCCAACCTACTTTAGCCTTGACCACCAGAAAGAATCTCGAGCACCAGAACAAACTACCGAAACTCAAGGGTTTTCACGTGCCGGGCCCTGAGAGACACTCGTCCGACACTGCTTCGACACTGTTTCGACACCGTTTTCGACACTTTCCTGGGCGCTCGAAATTCTTTCTGGGATGTGGTCCGCAAGTACGGTGGGAGCAACATAACCCTAGGGGGTCCAGCGGCTGCCCGTCTCACGCGGATCCAAACCGGGACCTCGTTGGCTTGGGCACTGCCAGCCTCAGCACCGTCGCCATTTCCTGGCCCATCCGGGAATCCAACGGCTCGTCGTCCAACGCGGATGCAAGCGAGATCTCGCCTATTGGGATGTTGCGAGGCACAGAAGGGGTCGCCATGTTCTGGGATTTTTGCATATCCGACGGGTCACCGTCCCATGCAGACCCAAACGGAATTTCGGTTACATGGGTATTGCCGGACTCGAGATTGCCGCCATTTTCTGAGCCCTTGGCGGTTGCAGCGGTGTGCCGTCTCGCGCAGGTCCAGATTGGATGTCGCTTCCGTGGGTTTTGCAAGACGTCTTGGGTGTCTTGGGTACGCCCTTGGGTGATGTGGATTCGCTAGTTTCCCCGAGATGGGCCGTCGCAGGTCGCACGCCCTGGCCGAAGAGCTTGGCCCTTGCGGGCTGAGATCTGTGACGACGGTCGCGGTGGCGATCTGTACCCTGACGACCGCGGGCCTGGGAATCGGAATCGGAGCGGGCGACGTGTCACGCGGTCACCACGAGTGTGTTGCGGGATGCTGTCAAGACACGGATTGCACATGCTTAGATACAGTGGCGCACGCACGTGCGCCCCCGCGTGCACGCAGCAGGCCATGAAGTGTGTTCGACAAGTCGGCCAGGACCATCACGAAGGCGCACGATCGTCGAGAGGATGGTCTCTCCCCCTCTAAAGGCTGCACGCACGCGTACGCGTAGGCGGTGCAGCTCGCGCACATTCGCACGACAGTTGTCTCATGTGTATCTTGCCCTCCCTCTGCATTGACTCTGCGTGCATTGTTGGTTGCTCGTATCTCCCGAATGGGGGCACGGTATTATATCGTCATGCGTTGGTTGTCTAATGAGATCCGCAACGAGCCATGGAAGGCAACCAGGGGAATGGAAGACACCGTGACGGAGGGAAGGTTGACAAGAACAGGATCACCGTCGAGCAGAAGAGCTCTGCTGTTGCAGCCATCGAAGACCTCATATTTCGTGACCTTGAGGAAGTGTGAGTGGTTTTTCGCACATGCTTGGGTGCCCATGTTTTCACCACGTTCGCGCGCAGCTCATTCTGTGTAGCATGTAAGTCTCAAGTTTTTAGTTGCCGCGCCGCATCGACCACGACTCATTCGCGAGGCCTTGGGTCCAGAAGAAATGTGCGACCTCACAGCAGCAGCGCCCGCAGACACAGCCAAGGAGTAATCGGAGGGCGTTACACGTTGCACTCATTCATCGGGTCGGGATCGTCGCCGTTTGCCCAACAAGTTTCCAGAGAAACGCACCCAGGGCTCACGGCGGCGTTCATTGGCGATTTCGGTTCAACAGTTTTTGCACTGAAGAGGGATGCTAAAGCTCAGAGCCCAGTGCGCTTTCACGCTAAACAGGGTCGCAACGAAACCGATGCCTACCGCTATGAGGGCTGCAGATGTGCACCTTCTATCTTGTTCCCAAAGTCTTGGATCGAAATGTTGTTCGCCCCCCAGCGCCAGTCACATTTCCAGCCCTGATTGGCTGGGCATTGCCGCCTGCATACGCAACTCACACCGGAGTGTCGGGCGCAGTTCCCGCCCAGAACGGTGCTCCTGCTGCGTCGCTGGCCACACTCCTGGCTGAGGATGCTGCTCCCGCCTCGGCGCCCGTCGCAGATTCGGCCCAGAAGGGTGTGCGCGGAGCCGTAGAGGCGAGGGCGGAGGAGGAGGGGGAGGAGGAGGAGGAGGAGGAGGAGGAGGAAGAAAGAGGCGGAGGAGGAGGAGGCGGAGGAGGAGGAGGAGGAGGAGGAGGAGGAGGCGGAGGCGGAGGAGGAGCAGGCGGAGGAGGAGCTTGGGAGCGGCTCTCGCCTCAGCGCTGGCTGCATTGCTGACGTGGGCGGTCCTGGGCGGACGGTGCCCGTCGTGTGCGCGCTGGCTCCCGCAGCCTGGACGCCTGCCCCCCTCCCTGGCGATGGCCTCACTCCCTGCCTGGAAGGGCTGGGACCCCCACCTCGTCGCCGGCCACATCCCTGGCTGGGAGCTGCGCGCCAGCTACATGCCCGCCCGACGGCGGCACTCCCGTCTCGGCGCAGGCCACAAGAGGCGTTCCCGAAAGGGCCTCGCCTTCGAAGATCGAAGGAGTTGTCATCCCTTCATCTCCTCCTCCTCCTCCTCCTCCTCCTCCTCCCTCCTCCTCCTCCTCCTCCTCCTCCTCCTCCTCCTCCTCCTCCTCCTCCTCCTCCTCCTCCTCCTCCTCCTCCTCCTCCTCCTCCTCCCCTCCTCCTTCCCTCCTCTCCTCCTCCTCCTCCTCCTCCTCCTCCTCCTCCTCCTCCTCCTCCTCCTCCTCCTCCTCCTCCTCCTCCTCCTCTTCCTCTCCTCCTCCTCCTCCCTCCTCCTCCTCCCCTCCTCCTCCTCCTCCTCCTCCTCCTCCTCCTCCTCCTCCTCCTCCCTCCCTCCTCCTCCTCCTCCTCCTCCTCCTCCTCCTCCTCCTCATCCTCATCCTCCTCTCCTCCTCCTCCTCCTTCTTCTCCTCCTCCTTCTCCTCCTTCTCCTCCTCCTCCTCCTCCCTCCTCACTCTCTCCTCCTCCCACTCCTCCTCCTCCTCCTCCTCCTCCTCCTCCTCCTCCTCCTCCTCCTCCTCCTCCTCCTCCTCCTCCTCCTCCTCCTCCTGCTCCTCCCTCCTCCCCTTGGCATGGCCCAGTGAGCCACCGCACCGCCCCGCGGCGCGCCCCAGCCAGCCGGCGGCCATGCTGGCGTCCGCGGCGCGCCGCTCGCTGGCCCTCGGGCGGCTCCACGCGACAAGGCCCCGCTGGCGGCTCGTCGACAGCGGCCTGGGCGGCGGCTCCTGTCGGGGGCAACGACAGGGGGGGGATCGGCATAGGGGGGCAAGCAGTGGTAAAGCGTCCCAGCTCGCCTATAGGCCTACCGAAGAATGTTCTAAGAACCTTTTGCGGCTGGCACGAAATGTTCTCAGAACATGTATGGCTGAGACTGTCTTGTTTTAACACATCGGCCTTATGTTCTAAGAACCTGGTTTTTGTTTTGAGAACATCTCTGGGTTCTAAGAACATGTCGTGGTAGGCCTACAGGAATGCCGGGACGGTCGGCCCCTGCTCAAGGGATAGGCAAAGGGGAGGTTCGAGGCTCGAGGTTTTCTGACGCTCGAGGTGGCTTCGAGGTTCGAGGTGTTCTGGCGATGTCGTTGGTTCTTGGCGGCTTCCCGGCCGTGGGATGCGTTCCAGCAGCTGCGCCTCGCCGAGGGGCGTCCGGGGCTGCCCAGATCGCCCCGAACGGCCGCCAGAGAGCCGACGGGGCGTGAAAAAATCACGACGGGAGGTTTTTCAAGGACCCTTTCCCGGCCTCGGTGTCGTCGAGAAACGACCCACCGTGAAAAGCCAGTCCCAGGGAAGGAGTCGAGGTCTCTGGGGGTCGACGTTGAGAAAAAATCGTGGCGCCGGGGGAGTCTGGGTGGCCTGAAGGACCTTCAAGTCTGGGCGCTGCAACTGTTTCACGACGGGCGTTTTCGCCCTGGCTCGGGCCCCAGGGCCCTCACGGATCGATCCGGCGCGAGAGAGGACGCAGAAAGATAGATTCCAGGGCTTTGGTCGCGATGTTCCGCGATGTTGCCTTTTTTGTTACCACGTCAGGCCTGAGGGGTGGGCCAATGTGTCCCAGCTTTCCACTGCATTCTGGAGACCTTGGGGCCCCTCGGGGCCTCGTGAGGGCCAACACGGCTCGCCGACCCTCGCGCGCCAAGGGAGGCCGAAGGTTGACCTGAGCAGGTGGTTCAATTGCTTGCGCTGGACGGGGTGGTCTTTCCTTGCTCCGCCATCGCGCCATCGCCCAGGGCCGTGCCCTGCCGTGCCCTGGAGGTTGTGGAGGGCCTCCTTGGAGATCTTGGAGGCACCTCGAGGCCAAGGGCACTCCCGGCAGCGCCCGATCCCAGAGGCCTCCAGGGGGGGGTGGGCCTCCGCATATCCAGCGAGGGGTTGCGCCCTCTGGCAGCCTCTGGCGAGCAGTACAGCAAAGACGCTGACACAAGGACCGCTTTGTGATCGTTTTCCTATTCATTGGTTTGCCGATCGGCGCGGGCCCTCGCACCCCCGCCCTCCCCCCCCTCACATGGAGTATATCCTGGCTGTTTGGGGCGCCTGTTTCGAGCAGGCTGGGTCTCTCCCCCATGGGACGCACTGCTGCAAACAGTTGCAGTGAGCAGAGGTCTGGAGCCAGACCCCCCCCTTCCCCCCATTTCCGACAAATGTCGAAGCGCCGAAGAAGAAAACTCTGACGTTTTCGAGCCATTCCTTAGATCCAGGTCAGAGAACCTAATCGTGGTCGAGGCTCGCCGTGGCCAGGAAAGCCCCTTCCTTCCTTATTTGGCGTTCCCCTTCTCCTCCTCCTTCTCCTCCTCCATCTCCTCCTCCTTCTCCTCCTCTTCCTCCTCCTCCTCCTCTCCCTCCTCCTTCTCCTCCCACCTCTTCCTCCTCCTTCTCCTCCACCTCTTCCTCTCCTCCTCCTCCAACCTCCTCCACCTCCTCCTCATCATCACATCCTCCTCCTCCTTCTCCCTCCCTCCTCCCTCCTCCTCCTCCTCCTCCTCCCTCCTCCTCCTCCTCCTCCTCCTCCTCCTCTCCTCCTCCTCCTCCCCTCCTCTCCTCCTCCTCCTCCTCCTCCTCCTCCTCCTCCTCCTCCTCCTCCTC